GGAGCCGAAACTGGGCAACCTGGAGGAGCCTGGAACAGCAAGAGGCTGGGTACTTGCCGGTGGCATCACTTCCACTCCAGATGAAGACGGTGCTGGAGAGGTACGAGGTCCACAACCCGGTCCCCCTCATCGTGGGCAGCAGCGTGGGAGGCCTGCTGCTGCTGGCTCTCATCACAGCCTCGCTGTACAAGGTGAGCGCAGTGTCCCTTCCCCATCCCCAGGCTTCGAGGCCGCCCTTTCTGCAGAGTAAGAGAGAGCTCATTGTAGAAGGAGATGTACCTTCTCTCTAGCTTCTGACCTGAAGAAAACCCCTCCACGGTATCACCACTGGTCCCCATGTTTGTACCTTCCTCTCTGCCACTCAGACCTCCTGTCACCTATGTCTTTTTTTTCTATCTTCTCCACTGTTCTACTTGACAGTAGACTACGGCAGAAAGCAGGGACCTCAGGTTGAATGTTGACACTCCAGTTCTTTATTCTTTGATGAGATAAATGCCTGGTCTACTCTGGGTCTTGATAGGTTCATTGTGAAGGTGATTGTGCTGATAGTCCACGGAATCGTGTCTGCGTCTAAATGATATAAGGAATAAGTTCCCACTGCTGTGCTCTGAACATGGGAGGTTCCCCCAGAAATGGAGGTTTCTCCCTCTTTCCATGTTGCATCTTCTCTTGTCTCCTGGACTTCCTGGCTTTCCTCTCTTTCCTCCGGCAGGCGGGCTTCTTCAGACGGCAGTACAAGGAAATGATGGAGGAAGCAGATGAACAGGCTGTACCAGAAAATGAGACGTCAGGCTCCCAAGATGTGCAGTGAGAGGCTGTACGCAGCACCCTTTGGACCTGCTCTGCCCCCAGAGATTTCTGAGCTCTGTTACTTTTGCCTGAGTTGAGTCTAAGGGTGAAAGATACATTCCACACAAGGACAGCTCGGACCAGGCTACTTTCATTCTCTGAGAACAGTGGCGTGCCTACCTGAGTGTTTTGTTCAGGAAAATCCACGTGACTCAGGAAACCTCTAACCTTAATATTTAAAAAGCCATAGACTACAGTGCAAGTCCCAGTGTTCCCCCGCCCCCAGCCACCGATGATCTTTCTAAAATGTAGAACTAAAGAAGTCACTCCTCCTTACCCTTTTCCAGTGGGCTTCTGTTTCTCCCAGGATGATGTCTGAATTCTCCAGGTTGATGTGAGTAGAGTTTTGTCTCCTACAGGTGGGCTTCAGAGCACATGGCAGGTGACACCCTGTACTTCCCCATCAGCCCTGGTTCTAGTGCCACCAGAAGCTTTTAGCTTCTATTTGGAAGTCTTAGTCCAAATTGGAATAAAACCTCTACACATTGCATGATGTGAGCTGGCTTCCAGCAGGGCTCAGCAGTGCGGGCAGGAAGCAGCTGCGTCCTCACAGGAGGGGTCCGGCGCCTCCACAGCTCCGCCAGCTGCAGGTCCAAAGAGGCCACTTCTGCTTTTTGAATCTCCAAATGTAATAAATGAGAATTCCCAGGATATGATTATAAAAAAGTATATTTCAAATATTTGTACTAATAAATTAAAACATGCACAAAAGGTGCTAGTAGCTTTGATAGGAACTATGTCAAATGTCTGAGCTTAAGGTCTTCTATGGTTCTGAGTCTTGGACAGTGGGGACCACCGGGGATCCTCGTCATGGGGGAGCCTGGCCAGCTGGGCCTGGAGCCAGGAGAAGACTGTTAACCAGAGTGGGGGTGACTAGCATCCCTCTGGGAGTAACCTGAGCTCCGAGTCCACTCCATTCTTGTGCCGTTGGAAGCTGATGGAGCTGTGTGGGGAGGTGACAGAGAAGGGACGACCCCCAGCGGCTGCTCTTCTGCCTGGAAAGGGCACTGGAGTGAACCAAGATACAGGTGTTTCTCACCAACCCTAGGATGTGTGGAGGGGCACTCAGTTGATCAGACTGTGAGAATCTGGTCCTGGAATGATGCTTGTCAAAATGTGTCGTATGAACTCCAAGCGATCACTGATTCTCATGTGATTCTCCATAGTGGCTGCCCCATCTTACTCTCTAAGGGTTCCAGTTTCTCTGTGTGCTCAACAATATTTATTATTTTCTGTTTTTGTTGGTTTTTTTTTTTTTATAGCTGTCTTGTTGTGGTCTTGATTTGAATTTCCCTAATGATTAGCGAGGTTGAATATCCTTCCATGAGCTTGTTATTTGCATATTTTCTTTGGAAGCATGTCTGTTTGATCCTGATTCCCCCTCTCTCTATGCCTCTGCCTCTGTCTCTGTCACTGTCTCTGTCTGTCTGTCTGTCTGTCTGTCTGTCTGTCTGTCTCTTTGTCTCTGTCTCTCCCCCCGTTCTTCTCTTGTGTTTTGCTGGTGATTAAACCTAAGGCATCATGCATGCTAGGCAAGCACTCTACTACTAAGCTGCACCTCCAGCCTTCTCCCATTTTTTCCCAACTCTCTTGCCACACAGTCACTCACTATGTAGCCAAGGCTGGCCTCAAACTCAGTGATCCTCCTGCCTCAGCTTCCCAAGTGCATGTGCACCACTATGCCTGGCTGTCTTTATTTAAAAATTACATTATTTGTTTTTTATTATGGAGTTAGAGGAATTCTGCAATGTCTTTAAATATTCTGGACATACTCATCTTATCAGATATGATTTGCCTATATTTTTTCCCATTGCAAATGTTTCTTTTTACTCTGATTTTATAGTACTGGGGACTGAACTCAGTGCCTTCTAATCAAGCTACATTCCCATCCCTATTTTAAATTTTTTATTTTAAGAAAAGGTCTTGCTAAATTGCTAAAATTGGCTGAGATTTTTTTTGTTTTGTTTTTTCTTTTCTTTTTTGTGGAACAAAGGATTGAACTCAGACCCTTGCGCTTGCCAGGAAGCACTTACTCTACTGAGCCATCTCCCCAGCCCCTGGCTGAGACTGAACTTGCAGTTCTCCTGCCTTAAGCTCCCAGAGTGCTGGGATCGCAGGTGTGCACCACCATGCCTGGCTGTTGCATTCTTTATTTAAAAAAATTTTTTTAAAAAATCTTTTATTCATTTGGTACAGGGTCTCAGTATGCAGGTTGGACTCGTAGTGATCCTCTTGTCTCAGCCTCCCCAGCACTGGGATTACAAGCATGCGCTACCATGCCCAGTCTCGGTGGCCGACCCAGCATGCCCTGGGTTCTGGGGCTGGCACAGCATGCTGTACCAGGGATGGAACCTGGGTTCTTGCATTTGCCAGACAGGCATTTAGACTGCTGAGCTATCTCCTCATCCAGCATTCTTTAAAGTATAGAACTTTTTGATTTTGATGTAATCTATTTTTTCTTTTATTACTTGTGCCTTTGGTGTTATGTCCAAGAAATCATTACTAAACCTGATGTTCTAAAGATTGTGTCCTATTTTTCTTCTAAGAGTTTTATAGTTTTGGCTGTTACATTTAGGTCTGTGACTTTTTTTTTTTTTTTTTTTTT